CATCTTAGCTGTAGAGGGCAGTGTCACTGGCCCTCATATGTGGGATCTGAACCGGGGCCCTCTGGCGTTCCAAGCCAGTTCTTAACCATCGCGCCACTCGGCCGGCCCCAAAGAGTATGTATTTTTTAAAATGGGTTTTGATAACATTATTGCCAAAATGCCCTCCCAGGTGTATATGCAAATCCACACTCCTACCAGTAGTTTATAAAGTTGCCTGATTCCCAAGATTGGTACTAAGTATGATCATTTTTTCCCATTTATTAGGTAAAAAAATCATTTAGATTGTTTAAAGCTTTTGAGGAGACTGTGGAGATCCAGCCCATTGTGATTAATGTCTTATTACAGTTTTTTTTAATTAAGTTTATTGGGGTGACATTGGTTAATGAGATTGTTTCAAGTGTACATTTCTGTAATAAGTCATCTGTATATTGCATTTTATTCTCACACCCGAAGTTTAGTCTCCTTCTGTCACCATATACTTGACCCCCTTTACCCTCTTATACACCCCTCCCTACTCTGATAACCGCCATACTGTTGTCTGTGTCAGTGGGGTTTTTTTTGTTCCTTTTTGCTTTCTGTTTTATATCCCACATATGAGTGAAATTATATGGCTCTTGTCCTTTTCTGTTTGACTTATTCTCTTAGCATGATATTCTCAAGATCCATCCATGTTGTTGCAAATGTACAATTTTTAGTATGGGAGAGAATGCTCGTTTTTATATTCTAGTCTAAAACAATTATGTATAGAGTGTCTTACATTATCACCTGTAACGGTAAGTTCTCTGGCCTTGGTGAAGTTGTTTAGATTACTTTTAAAAAGTGTTCAAGACCTTGTAATTTTCTGTGAAAATCATTCTTAACTATATATAGTGTGATTAGAATAGAAACGGCTTATTGCAAACATCAACTTTGGAGAAGCATCTTAAGGATCATCTGTAGTGGATTATTGCTTTCACAATGTCTCTGTTGGTGGTGGTACTTCTGAAATACCAACTTCGCTATGCTCCTGTCACGTGTCTGATTCATGGCACTAAACACTTCTGCGTTGTGTGGCATTTCCTAATAAACACAGTCTCTCCTCTTCCTGTTTTTATAACTTTCATTGTGCATTTCTGTCTTGTCAGATTTCTAACTGTGTGGAATTTCATTCTCTCTCATTTACCCACAGGCATCCAGAACCCTGTAATACAGTATATAAACGTGCCCTTGCTTAGCCATAACACTGATGAGTTAAAGAATACCACAGTGCCTCGCAAGTCAACAGTGGAAATGCCTCCCCAGGAAAAAGTAGAAACACCCCTCAAGGAGAGCCTGGAAGCGCCCCCCGGGCCGAGCGTGGAAGCGCCCCCCGGGCCGAGCGTGGAAGCGCCCCCCGGGCCGAGCTTGGAAGCGGCCCCCGGGCCGAGCGTGGAAGCGGCCCCCGGGCCGAGCGTGGAAGCGCCCCCCGGGCCGAGCGTGGAAGTGGCCCCCGGGCTGAGTGAGGAAACGCTTCCTGAGAGTGTGGAAACATCACCTGAGGGTAGCGACAACGTGTCCCTCGCGAGCGTGGATCCAACTCCTGAGGTGAGCACAGACTCGTCTCTCGACTCGAGTGTGGACCCATCCCCTGAGGTGAGCACGGACTCATCCTCTGAGGTGAGCATGGAAGTGTCATCATCTGAGGCAAGTGTGGATGTGTTCCATGATCCTGGCATGGAAGCGTTTTATGAGGTGAGCATGGAAACAATCCCTGAGGAGAGCACAGAATTGTCCCGTAAGTCATCTGAGTCATCCACCAACATGAGCGTGGAAACATCTTCTGAGGTGAAAGTGAGAGACAGTCCACAGGTTTGTCAAATGCCTTTTATTGACCAATCTTTCATTAAGATCTGTATATTTAATTTTGTATAGCTTGTGTGGTAGGTCAGGTTTCCCAATACAAACAACTTACTAATAGCATTCTGCAATAAAATTAATAAAATAGGATAACTCACTTTAATGGTTTTAAATGATCTGATATTCATTGTTCCAGAAATTTCCCCAAAGCTGAAGTATTAATTTTTAGTAGAAGGGAGAAAATGTAATAGTTTATATGAACTATGCTTCTAAACTCCAAAGAAAATTTAATTGAGAAATATTGGAAACCCTTCATGAGGATTTAGAAATAGAATTAGATTTTGAAGTATAAAATTTCTTTTAAATTCATTATTTCTGTGACCTGCTTCAATTGTGTAATATGAATTGTTAGTCTGGAAGAACGTATTTTTGTACCTGAATCTCATGCATGAAAGGAAACTTGGGAGTTTAGGGAGCTATAATTGTGTTTTATTCAGAATGTTTTTCTCTTAAAGAGAAAAGCCAGCTTCAGTAAGGCAAATGCTAGTATTTCTTATCTGATTGTATTGATCTGTTCAGAGTTCAGAAATGGACATAAAGGCCTCAAGCCCTGTTACCAAGAACCAGCCGTCATTACACATACCATGTAATAAATGGCCATCTTCTGCAAGTGGATGTCGTCCACCCTCTCCCATCAATGCTAAGTAAGTAGCTTATTTGCAGCTGTTCCTTATATGTTTCAACCAGGATAAATTTTACATCAGTGTTTCATAATTGAAATAATGTAATATGCATGATAATGTAAATGTGAAGAAAAAACCTTTAAGAGACAAAGGGTTTACCTTTGTCAGTTATAAAATATCATGTTCTCATATTTTATGAAGTAGTACACTAAAAGTTAATTGGCACATATTTGTTAAAAAACCATATCAGACTTCCCCCATTAACTATTAATTCTTCTCAGCAGGCAAATCCAAAAAAATCGGTCCCCATCGCTTTCACCGGTCATGCCAAAACAATCAACACAATCTTCTGTTTCAAGTAAAATAATTCCTGTTCAGTGTACTATGTTTACACAGAATACATTAGATATTATCGGAAATAAAAAAGAGGCAGTTTCTAAAACCACCGAAAGCTCTGAGGCTGTGAACCAAAAGCTTGTGACCTATGATGGTAAGTTCCTTCACTGAGAAGTTAATGTTTTGGCAACACAGAAAATGTTAAGGTATGGGAATGGTCAACTTCACTTTATTCTCTAGTCCAGAGAACTTTAGGGAACGAGCCTTCTTTTAGGTAAAGAGAATTTAACTAAACATTGGCACAGAGCTTACTTTTCATTATCAGAGCTTCTTATCCCCACCACCTTGTTGTTTTGGAAAATCCACTTTTGGAACTGATGTTAAAAGTACCAGCTAGATGAATATATCGGCCTAGGGGATCCCTGTAGGCCCTTCCAGCTCTGATAGTGATGGTTCTATGAATGGCCCCAAGTTGTTTTCCATCCCTGGAGAGAGCACATGTAGCCATTTGTGCCTGAGTGGGTTTCCATCAGGACCGGTAGGTCAGCCGCTATACATAGGCCACAACATGTGTCTGGGCAGTGTGTGGGTTCCTGAAACTACCATACTAGTATTTTGGCTGTAACATACATGTGTTCTTAATATCCATGGACAGTATTTAATTTTAAATACACTGGGGAATTTTGTTTTTTGAAGGAATTCCACAATGAATTCTTTGTAACAGGAACAATATTATCAATTACTCATTAACAATGACTTAAAACCTCATTTTCATATGTGGTTTATTTAAAATAAATAAATTAGTCACATAGACTAAAATATTATATTGCAATTGCCTTCCCGTGGTCATCTTATTTTGCTGATAGTCTTGGTTTCTTTGGTTATCTACAGTTAGCCATTTTATGATCAACCAAACATTGTAATACACTTAAACATGGTTAGCTAAACAAATTATTTACTAAAAGTGATGTACAAATTTTAAACTGTATGCTGGATATATTTTTGTTTAGTCGAGTATTTAAGATTTGTGCACTGCATTTGGACCACATAAAAGCTTGTTTTCCTCTATTTTAGTATATCTTAATCTTTTTTGTCATGAGATCAGTTTAGTCAGGCATCTCAAAAATAGGGAGGAATACATTTTTCATTTTGGAACAAGTAGTTGTTAAAAAGAAACAAAGTACAACTTCTGTTGTTGGGGTGGAGTTGTGGTTTTAAACAAAAATCTATTATGTCATATATAATCACTTATAGATTGCTTTTTATACATTTTAGACCATGGACATGTTGTTTGTCTTAAATATTCTTGGTTGTCTCGCACCTCTTTGTTGGACCGAGAGGCAGTAAGTTGCCTAAACTAACTGTTTCACATGTTAATTTAACCTAGAGTCTGGTAATAAAAGCACACCAGGGACTATGAATGCCAAGGAGGCAACAAAAATTTTGGCAGAAAAACGACGCCAAGCTCGTGAACAAAGAGAGAAGGAAGAAAGACTACAAAAAGAAATGGAGCAAAGGTCAGCAGAAACCCATCGTTTCTATACTGAGAATCTTGGCTAGGTCCCGGAGTTAGAAAGTCAGAACTTCCTCTCAAATTAAATGTATTATAAATGCTCAAAGAATAAGTGAGTTTTTCTTCAGTATGAGTCAGAAAGGAGTCACTGGCTTCTAAACAGGTGTGGGAAGCATGTCAAGCAGAGAGGACACTGTAGATGAACTGGAATAGGTCCCTTCCGTGTTCATGTGTCATGTGCCCTGAAGGTATGCTATGGAGATGCATAAAGAGACTCCCCAATTCAGTGTCAGGGTCCTGGATCTCACCAGTAGCACCTGAGAGGTCACACAAGACCACTTCCGTTGGCATTTACTTGTGTCAGCCCCATCTTTATTTCAAAAGTCTTTTGTAGCTTTAGCATTTGTAAACCTGGAAAGTATACTTCCTCATGTTTTACTAAAGGTGCTTTCCACTGACTTTTGGGATGCCTGAATCTCTTCACTCAGTGTTGGAAGGAGTTCCTGTGGACAGCAAATGTCATGAACAGTTGTATGCATTCTTTTTTTTTTTTTAGCTGAGCCATCCTATCACCTGTTGGCAGCTCAGCGGCAGCTCAGCTCGGGCCAGACTTGAACCGCTGTTGCTCAGAGCTCACACTCTTGAGCGAGCTCTTAACCAACTGAGCCACTCGGCCAGCCCAGTTGTATGCATTCTAACTTGATCCGAAAGTTTCTTGATTCTCCATCTTTTTTTTTTCCTGAAAAGGTTTTATTACACACAGAGGGGATGGGGCTCAGTTCTTCTTGGCTACTGCCTTCCTCATGGCTGCAAGGACATTGCTCACCTCTCTCTTCCTCTTGGCATGGATGTGTGTCCCCACCCTTTTCTCGGTGAACTTCAGGGCCCACTTGTCCTTAGAGACGTTGAGCAGCTCCATGGTACGCCGCTTATGGGGGGCGAAGCCACACACCTCTCGGATTATGTCCTGCATGAACTTGGCATGCTTGGTGACATGTCTGCGGTGGCGGCTGTGCCTCTGCTTGCTCACGTTCATGGTCACCTTGTGGCCCTTGTTGAGGCTCACGGCCATGGGGTAGCGCAGAGCCGTGGCTGCTGCCCCTCAATAGCTGCCATGGGACATCTCTTGATCCTCCGTCTTAAGGCCCATTTGAGTTGGGGCCCTGTAATGTAAACCTCTGACCACTGCCTGCAAAGGGTAACTATAGTCTTGACTTTGATTTAAGTATTAAGTGTTTTTTGAAATACAATCACATGCATTCTATATACTTTATATGGGGTTTGGGAGAAAGGAGGAGAAGGGGATATTATGAAGAGCCAAAAACTATAATTTTGAAGAATATTATTCTTAGCTTCATGTAAACAGCTGATTTAGCATTTTAAAATCCCTGAATACTGGTCATTGTGGACTGGGCTTTCTCCTCTGGGCACCACCAGACCCTCTAAATTATTCCTATCACACTCCCATGTGAGATTGGGTATAAGCATGTGTAAGTAAGGCTTTTTGGAGAGTACCACGTGGCTAAAATGGTTCAAAAGGAGTGATTCATATTTCTCTCTCTACTTTTCTCTCTCGTTTTAAGATGTCAAGTAGCCCACCACAAGATAGAAATCTTTTTCTACTCCCAAGGGCTGGTTTCCCTCATATAAAAAGGGTGAAATTATGCAAATCTTGTGTAGTAATAACACAGAAAATGTAGGGAATCTGGTATAAATATAAGTCGTACTTACTGCAAGCTGTATATGGTAGAGACCAAGACAAATACTAAGAGTTATTTAAATATTCTGTGTCATTAGGAAAGAGGAAGACATGGCAAAGAAAACAGCTGAAGACCAAGAAGAACAGTTCTCAAAATTAGACTATGGGCAACAACTAAAGGAAATAGAAAAGAAGACAGAATGTCAGGATAAAGAAGACCAGAAAATGTTACAACAGGTTTGCTAGCTCTTTATCAGGGGATGAGAACCAGGTTATAAAATTCAGTTGAAACTCAAAGCCAAAATCTGTTTCCCCAAGAAAGAGGATGAACAGATGCTGCCCTGCCCTCCCTGGTTGCATTTTTACATCCCAGTCAAGCTAATACCCCACACCTCTGCAAGTCATTCTCGGCCACCCTTGTCAAAATCCTAGAATATTTTCCAAGTGAAATAAAAGCAGAAAGCAGCAAATTATAGATTAGCAGTCTTTTAGTTTGTCTACGTAAACAACATTGCAGTTTGGTTTCAGGAAATCCAAACCGCCCACACAGATTAAATGTCCTATGTGAATTTTCCCAATCTTGCATTCTGTGGTGACACAGCTGCACCCCACACACGTCCCAACAGATGAGATAAAAATTATGAATACCTCTAAAATTTTAAAGTCATCAAATTCACCAATAAGAATGTCTCACCCATGTGAATTCAAATCACCAGGTAAATAAAACTCCAAACTAAGCTCAGACTGTACTCCGTTTAAGTAGCCTAATTGATATTCCAGTTTTAGTGTATCATTCATAAAATCAGTTATATGTTACATAAATAATTGTGTGCATTTGCATTCCTGGAGAAGGCAATCCTCTTTAAGAATCTTCTCGGTGGTTTTGAGAAGTGTAAGACTTCTGGCTCCTGTTGCTATGTTGTGTTAATGCAGTCACATATTTTGAAGCTGTAGTGGTCTGATAACTACTATTAATGATAACCCCGAGGTCCTGGAGGGGACTAGCATGACTTCCAAATCTTCACGATAATAGCTTGGTTTTGTACATTTTAGCTAGTGCTTTGAAAACCGATAATCTTTATGTGTTGTGTGTGTGTGTGTGTGTGTGTGCGCGCGCGCGCGCGTGCGTGTGTGTACGTACGTACTCACAATCAAAAGGTTACATTCTTTATGTTGGAAAACATTTTACTGTTTAACTTTTTAAAGTGTTGTCTGATGTCATTCAGATATATTGAAATGAACCATTTTTGTACAAATTTCCTAGAGAGGGGACGCCAAAATAAAAGCTCAGGAGGAGGCTGAGAAACGCAAGAAGGAGCGCGAAAGAATTATGTTACAGAATTTACAAGAGAGGATGGAAAGAAAAAAGGTTCTCTCTCTCTCTCTCTCTCTCTCTCTCTCTCTCTCTCTGGGGGGTTTGGTTCTTTGTTTACAGTAATGTTAGGCACATGATATAAAACCATAGTTTTGAAAATCACAAATAAGTGATATGATAGCCCCAGATTGTTTTCCCACTCTACCCTCCTCTTATACAGGGATCTGCCCTCTCCTACCTAGAAGGGTCTCCTTTTATTGACCATACCTCTCCCTCATGGACCACTGGTGGCCATTACAGTGATGCCTCAATGTTGCAGAGCTCCCTTGAACAGAATTACTCTGGTCATGGTAGGGCTTGGTGGAAGTTTGAGTTTCTTGTAAACGGGGCTAGAAATTGCAGCCGCTGAGTGAGAAGAAGCTGAAGGCACAGTTCTCTCTCAGAGGCCAAGGTGCAGGCTCTTAGTTGTTAGTAAGGTAGGACCTCACTTTGTGTAACACATGTGGCCTTGGACCTGCGGTCCTGGCTGAGGTGCTGCAAGGCCTCTGTCAGATCAGTCAGCCCAGGAGGCCAGAGAGCTACAGCTCTCCTCACTTTCAGGGAAAGAAGTGTATCCTGGGAAAGGGATTTTTATCCCTCCTGTGTGTGTGCTCTTTCTAGTAACAGAACCTCTGACAGTGTTGCAACACTGGGGTACATTCTTTTCATTAACATTGACTTCGGTCATAACATGTTCAGACTAAAAGTATGTTAATAAGTTCTAACTGGTTTGCAATAATATTTAGTCTAAATAATGAGTTTCGAAGCCTGCAAAATTAGGAGTGAGAAATCATTTGGATAACAAGTACAGTGACAGGTATAACTGTCACCACTCAAGGCATTTTCTAGGTAACTGAGAGGCCGGGGCTGAAAGAAGGAGCCCAGCTGCTGCCCAGGGTCTTGTGTCAGTTAAGTCTGTGGCTTTGGAGCAGTCACTGATATCGTCCCCTTCTGGAAAATGGAAATAATCAACTTCTTCAGGACCACTGTTTTGTTTTTCATGTATTTTCGTGTTTGATATTTTCTTTTCTTTTAAATAGAGAATTGAGGAAATTATGAAGCGGACGAGAAAGACCAATTTGAATGCCTCCAAGGTATTCTGCATGCTCCTACCAACAGTGTCTAAGAATTCCTGTTGCTTCACATTCTTGCCAACTTTCTAAGTTTTGCCATTATGATGCTAATGAAATAAAGTACCACATTGCATTTCCCTGATTATTAAAAGTGCTGAGCATGTTTTCATATCTTTAGTTAGCTTTCTTATTTTTCGTTGTGTGAAATGCTGGTGTAGGTCTCTTGTCCAGAACTTTTAAGCTGATGTGTCTTTTTCTCGCTAATTTGTAGTACTTTAAATGTTCTAGATACTGTTTCTTTCTTTTTTATATGTGTTGCAGATAGCTTCTCCCACTTTACGGCTTTGTCTTTTCTTAAAGCTATCTTCTGCTGGATATTTTCACATTGTTGAATTCATCAGTATTTTTTAATGACTAATGGAGTTGGGTGTGTTTTCATATGCTTTTTGGCCATTTGGAGATTTAGTGCCCTTTTAAGTCTTATGCCTGTGTTTCTATTGAGTCGCCTGCCTTTTTCTTTTTGATCTGTGGGAGTTTTTACCTGTTGTGGTTATGAGCCCTTTGTATATATGCACTGCAGGTATCAGCCCCCAGACTGCAGTTTGCTCACACTCTCATAATGACTTGTGATGAACAGAAGTTCATTTGAATGAACTCAAGTTGAGCCATTTTTTTCCCAGTACGGTTGGTTACTGCTTTGGGGGTCTGTCTCATAAGTATTTGCTTCCCTCAGTGTCCTTTCTTTTCAGGACACCTTTTCTCCAGATTCTGTGCTCTTTGCCCTCTGTGCTCACAAAACTGATGTTTTGCCTGTTTACAACTGCCCAGTTGTGATCAATCATATGATTATGAAAATTTAGAAGAGAAATGTCAATTCTGAAAAGTTTTCGGAGTCGCCATGTCAAAGATCATTCAGCTCATCGACCTGGGACATTTTCCCTTAAGCAGCAGCCAAGAACGTTTTTAGCTCTTCTCTAATTGGCCCCACCTTGGCTTAGTTAGGTCCTCGAGTGGGCCGAGACCGTATGCCAACCCAGAACACTTATCCCTTGGTTCCCACTCAGGGAAGTCTTTCATTCTTGAGTGTCTTTCCCTAGCTGAAAGACACCACTAGGGCCACTTATCCTGTCCCCTGTAGATTTTTGGGGCCAAAGAGATGAGGTTTTTTGATCTTTTAATTGAGATGATGAAAATGAGCCATCAATCTGTGAAATCTCTCGTTGAAATAAGTAAGTCAGGATGACTGACTATTTAGATGGAACCATGGTTTTCTTTGTTCATCATAGGCTGTGGAAACACCCAGCAAGGACATGTATGAGGAGGACGAGGCAGACGATGAGGACGAGTCAGAAAGTGACGACGAGGATTATTTCGATGACTTACCTCCATCAGGTTTGCTTCCCTTTGGAGTTTTGTTAGTCACTATTTAAGAGCTAGACTTCCTAGGTTCATCCAGGTGTCCCTCCCCTTCTGAGCTGTGTGGCTTCTGGCAAGCTACTTAATCTCTCTGTGTGCTCAGTTTTCCTGTCTGAAAAAGGGGAAGTAGTAGTTGTCCTCCTAAGGTGGGCAAGATATTTCAATAAGGTAATCCGTGGAATGCTAAGAGAACGGTGCCTGACACATAGCAAACTTTCAATAAATATTAGCTGCTACTGCAGCTGTTAATTTGCAGGTTGTGTTGAAAGACTGCAGATGGCAGCTTGTTCTCAGCTGAATATGAGGCTTGACTAGCATTTCATAGCTCAGGGCCTCCTATGGCATCCATGACTGACCGCAGATGGAATGCCACTTTTCCACCTCATTGAGAAAAATTAAAATCATGTCATGATTGTGAGTGTCCTCTAAAATACACTCTTCATTCCCTTATGAGTAGGGACCACTTTATGGCAGCAGTAATTGGCATCTGAGAAAACACTGTTGTCCACCCTTTATCCCACAAGTCAAATGCTCTATTAGGTACTGGGATACAGAGATGAGGAGACGGGGCCCTCAGCCTTGGGGAACCATAGCCAGTGGGAAGGCAGACGTATGACTAAGCACTGATACTGCCACAAGCTAGTTGCATTAAAAGGAGCTTGGCCAAAATGCAATGAGAACATAGCAGCAGGAGCAGGGTAGGTGTAGGGTCTGCCTTAGGGCACTGGAAAGGTTAAGGTAGATGGCAGCATTGGAAGTGAGACTGAAATAAGAGGCAGAATTGGCTGGGTGGGTAATCAGAAGGAGGGGTAAGAAGCATGCATGGTGCAGTCCTGTTTTCTGGCCTGGCATACTTTCCTGGCAAAGGAGAGAGGGCAAGTTCCTTAAAGGTGGCCCCTTTGTGCTTTGAGGGCAGGGCAGGCAGGCAGGTGTGCTAGACAGTGGCCTGGGTCATGGCTGTGGGACCTGCCTCCCCAGAGCACTGCCCGTCACTCTTCCTGCCCTCAGACAGATTCCCTCCCACCCCCCACCCCACCCCCAGCCCATGAGGATCACAGACTCTGCTCTTCTTTTCTTTGTTGTTGAAACTCCAGTTATAATTAATCTTGTTCCTTGTTTTTCTCCTAGCCTTTGTAAATGGCATGGATTCGTCTACAAACCTCAAGACAAATTTTAGGAATGCGAAGAACACTTCCAAGCTGGTGTTTTTAGACCCCAGTTCTGGTCAAGTCCATAAGGAGACAAAAACGTCTTTTAAAAAAAGTAACATGAAAAACTACAGACAAAACGTGAAGGACCTTTTGGCTAAGCCCAAGGGTACCAGGTGAATCACTCGGCAAGCTTATCAGGATAAACTTGGTGGCATTATGATTGACATTCCTAGAATGTACATGAAATTAATTGACTGAGCTCTTAGTTTATACCAAACACTATGTCAGGCACTTGACTTATAGACACAAACTCATCCCCACAACAGACTTGCTAGGTAAGGATTAGTATCCCCATCTTTACAGATGAGGAAACTGAGGCGTGGAGAAGTTAAGGGCCGTATTTGCCTAACATCCCACAGTTAAAGGGCAGAGCCCAAATTCACATCCTGATACATCTGACTCCAAACTGTTTTGTTGACACTGATTAATGTTGTCTCATGAAATCAGGCCATTGATTGACTCAATGCTGAATACCAGGCAATTTGCATTACCTATTGTAATTCTCACTGTACCTCTGAGTTCAGTATTAATGTCCTCATTTGACATATGGGGAAACTGAAAGTCAGGTTAGGTCAGACAGTAGGAACAGACTCGTAGAAAGGAAGACTCTTTGGGCGATTGCCTGAAAGACATTAACCTACAAGGCCCATGGAAACTCTCCACAGAGAGGCACCGTGATGGTAAGGAAAGAGCACTGGAGCTAGAAAACCCACGTTAGTCCTCACGCCACCTTCCTGGCCATGTCCCAGGCAGCCTAAAGTAGGGACAGGGCTCATGGAGGGAGCCTTCATGCTTAGCTGTTCGTAGCCGCTCAGCATGTCAATGGAACCTAGGACTTTGTAGGCCACAATTTGGAAACCATTGTGTTCTGTGATCTTCAGGACACCTTCCAGCTTTCCCATTTTATGCAAGTTCATTTATTTCTAAGGCATTTTGTAGAAATTAATTAAAGTATAAAGCTTCTTTCAGGACAAAGGCCTGGTTTGGGTACTATCAGGATTCTAAGCAAAACATCTCTTTCCAGACTATCTACCAAAAGAATGACCAATCGAACAGCAAAAACCAGAAAGACAATCGAAGCCAGCAACACCATGGGACCTCCCAAGAGTTTATGTGCAAGGGCACAGGGATGGACCTATGACAAGATCCTAGATATTGAAAGTGAGAGCGAGCCACTTATGTCCAGTGTCCTTCCTGGTAGCCACAAACACCATCTGAAAGGTTCCACGACCTTAGACAAAAGTACCCAGACATCTTTAGATAGCCACAGGACAGACAAATCTGATTCTTCTCAATCGGGTAAGGCTTAATCCCATGTTCACTTTGCTTGAAAGGCAGTTGACCTGGAACCCTCCTGGGCTTCCTGCTGTTCCAGGGTTATCTTGGTTCCATGTAACTTTGGAGGTGAGGGAGAGGAGGACTTGGTCTGAAAGCTAGGTTAATGTCAAAGAGTCTTCCATCAAAGTAGTTTTGAGAGAGTAAATGACATGGTTCTAAGTTTTATGTCCTGCATTTCCTGCCATATAATACCAAGTAGGTTCTTTTCACACCCCAAATTCCTCTGAGCTCCTGACCCACTGGCTGCTTTACAGCACACCGATTATCATTTGGGACAGAGGGTTAGTGAGGTCTGTGGAATTCGCCTCTCAACCTCTTTGCAAAACCAAAAGGCTTTTTTTTTCACTTGCAAAGCTCCCTTTGAAATTGAGAGGCAGCATGGGCTCATTTGGGAGTTTCAAGATGTGGGGAACATGACGGTGAGCACCAGTGTGTCAGCAGCTCCAGGGGCTGCCAAGGGCCTGGGCCCACCCGGTTAACTGAGACCAGCATCTTCTCTACTAACCTTGCTTTTTTTTTCTCTCTGGTCAGATGTGTAAACCTCGAGCAGCCTGGAAGAGAATTTATCCTTCACTCTGGGTTTCAACTTCCAGGCCCATCCCCAAATTTCTTCACCTCTGACTTGAGTCAGGCAAAGAAAATGACCATCACAAAAGGGGAAAATATCAAAAAAGCGTTTTAACAGTTCTCAGAAGATGCTGGTATCATCTTGACTCTTGCCCACTCAAGGGTTCTCAGTAAAGTTTTGTTTTTCTGTAAAAATCTCCATTATCTCTCATTCCTGTGTTTTCCTGCCACATGTGTGAGTGTGCGTCAAGGGTGTCTTTATAAAAGAGTAACGTTTGAGCTTTTAAAATAATCTCTACTGAAAGAACAATTTTCTCTCAGTACATATTTGAACTTCTTTTTTTTTTTTTTAAGCTGAGCCATCCTGCTACCTGTTTTCTGCTCAGCTCGGGCTGGACTCGAACCGCTGTTGCTCAGAGCTCAAACTCTTGAGAGCGAGCTCTTAACCAACTGAGCCACTCAGCTGGCCCCTCTCAGTACATATTTGAAATCTTAATGTTTATTTAATAATTACATGAACACAGCAATTAAAAACTCATATTTGATCTTGTAGAAAACAGTGGGTTATGGGAGGGACTCAGCATTGCTCACAAGAGCTTTGTTGGATTGTTTCTAATCTACCAATAATGAAGGGTACAAAATACAGTAAAGCACACTTACCATTACGTATGTGTACGTTTCCCTCTGCCATAGTCTGCCAGCTGAGTGCACCAGCACCGATACCCCCAAATGCTGTGATCCTAGTAAGTGTGATCTTGGAGCAGTTGGCATCTTATGTGCTCTTGTCAATGTTTCCTATTGAAGTACATATTGGGGTTGATCTACAAAAAGGTATTATTTTTGTTGTATACATAAGGCAGTATTTGGCCCTTGTGTGGTGGGGTATGTTTAATTCCTTTAAATGTTTACTGTGTGTAGTCTTTTTCTGTTTGTGCCCTCCAGTCCTGTCCTTCAGTATACACTCCAGCTTGGGACAGTGCATCGAATCCTGCTTAAAACCACTGACTAAAACTTGAACGTGGATTAGTTGTCCTAATGCTAGTGAGTTTTCTGATGCGTCCCAAATAGTTGGATGTGTTCCTTTCTAATCACGATTCTTGGGTTAAGTAAAAGGGAGTAATTATTCTTTCTGATTCCCTAGTTCTTTGCTATTCAGAGTACTGTACCTTTGTTACAGATTAGAGGTCGGTGCCTTAGATTTAAAAGTTATTTTTATATACTAGTTATTTTATGTAGAAGGCAGAGACAATCATCTTAACACAGATATTTCTGCTATTTTTCTGCACAAATGTCATTATGTTGAAACACTGTTACATGTAACTCCATATAAATGTGTGTTCCACGAAATAAACTTTGCAGGTAAATCCAAGTTTTCTTTTTATTATACTAACACAAAATGTACTGGTGGTAGTATAAAGGTGACACCAGTTGTTAACCAAGCTATGAACACGGGCAACCAGCAAGTTCAAGAAATACAGATGGTGCCCAAAAAATGTATACACATTTTAAAAAAGGAAAACTATTAAAATTGTAATACTCAATATATACTCAAAGATGAACACAAGTCACGTTTGACTTCTGCAATTACAAGAGGGGCTCAAAGTGGTTCCCATCAGTGTCCAGACACTTCTGATGACTGGTCGAACTACCGCTTGAGCCACGTTGACCAAAGTGTTAACATCTCTTGAAATGTGTAGACATTTTTTTGGCGCCCCCGGTAGTAATCAGATACTCTGATGCACCTCTTCAGCTAGTTGATGATTTGGCAGTTCCACCTGTGGGACACTAAGATGTGATTTTTCAAACTCGAGTCTTCCTGCACGTTACTCTTCCCCATGACGGTTCTGACTTCTACCTGACACCAGTGATTATATCTGTTTATACTGTGGTAAAATTCACATAACGTAAGTCACCATTCAGTGGCATTTAGTATATTCAGTGTTGTGTAGCCGTCAGTTCTGTCTAGTTCCAGAACCTTTTCATTACCCTACAAAGAAACCCTAGACCTTCTAAACCTCACATTTGGTGCTTGCCATAGATGAGGAAAACACATTTGGGTTTTTCTTTTCTTGTAAAGATTTTATTGGGGAGTTGGGGGAGGGGAACAGCCAAGTTGTCCTTCAGTCTTAGTTGTGGGTGGGCATAGCCCACTATCCCTTGCGAGAGTCGAACCAGAAACCTTAAGAGCGCATGCTCGAACCCCTGAGTCATCCGGCCACCCATCAGGCAGCTCAGCGGCAGCTCAGCTCGGTCGCAGCTCACGGGCCCATGTGGGAATCAAACAGGTGACCCTGTTGCTCAGAGCTTGAGCTCTTAACCAACTGCGCCACTCGGCCGCCCCACATTTGCTTTTTAAAGTGTGAGTGTGCTCGGGTGGTAATTGTGCTGTTACAGACATCTCTTCATGATGTCACTGTTATGCGTGGCAAAGCGCATGTTCTGATCTACCTGTAAATGTTTAGTTTCCAATCTTAAAACGTGTTCTACTCCACTAATTCCTGTTTTTGATAAGGCGAGGTCCCGTTTATCCACAGTCTTTGGGGTCTTGTGCTCATGAGAATGGTGTCAGCCATTCCCCACTTAGCATTCCATTCTGTTGGTCCTTCCATTGGAGTTATTGAATAGGACAACCCCTGGTACGTACACAACCTGAAATTCAGTCAAAGCACCCTGTTTATAGCTGTAAAGTGATGGGCACTGACCTAGCGTCCCCCTCTTGCCCTGGACCGGTACACCTGGTCGCCTCCAGTTTCCCTTTCTCTCTGGATAGCCTCTCGGTGTCCTCTCACAAGAGGTTCCTGTCCTTACTAGTAGGTTCTGAGGACATTTCCTCCACCTATGCCTTGAAGACTGTGTGAAATGAAGCCTTTTAAAGGCTCCAATCCCTGGCGACCACAAAAGTGTACTATGGGACACTAAGGGACCCTAGACGGATTGGAGACGTGAATCAGCCAAGGTGGCTGTGATCCTGTGTGACTTTGAAGACATTATGGCCCCTCTGAGTCCTCATATCTGGCAAGCGAGGGGGGCTTCTCTACAATCTGAGGGCCCTTTGGTTCTGAGGAATCACTAACATGGCAAGAGCCAGAGGATCATGACTCGGGTATAAAACAAGCTAGTGCCAAGACGCAAGCATGGAGGCAGACTGGCACATTTTATCAGGTCAATTACCTGTGTCATGTTCAGTGCCTCCCTCTCCCGCCAGGCTTGGTTTGTTGAAGCAGGCCCCAGAAAGGCCACCTTGCCATGGTCTCCCCACCAATGCAGTTCCAGTGTTTCCAGAAGGGTGTGCGCAATTTCCCCACCTATGTTGGAATAACTAGTCAGTTTATACATACTATATGCCAGATACTTAATAGGCATCACTGCAAACCCTCACCACAATCCTCTGAGGTGTGGGTGTTTTTACCTAGGAGGAGACAGATTCGTGGAGACAGGCATTTGTTCAGGAGCACACAACTAGAAAGGCAGAGCTGATACTCAAGCCCAAGGCTGTCTGATTCTAAAGCCAACACCCTGTTCTGCTTGGGGAGTGGGAACAGTGGCCTGTAGCTTGTGTGGTAGTCAATCCCTGTCTTTGGTGATGGAGATAAAATGGTCAAGTTTATGGAGTGCTTTTACGGGGTATCAGTCGCACTGCTAAGCACCGTATTACCATGAAATCTGCATGTGATTCTGCAAAGTAGGAATTATTATATAAGTCCCATTTTAACATGAGGAAAAAAGCTCAGAGAGGTTAGGTAACTGGCTCAAGGTCTCAACTAGAAAACGGCAGGGCAGCCAGGATTTGAAATCTGGCAGTTGGGCTCCAGAACCCATTCTGTGAACCCCAAGTAGGTATATTCTTGATATCCTGCTCCGCTTAACTATGAGGGAGAAAAAGCTTTTCTGCTGAAAATTTGGTAACTAAAATTTCCCCTTCTTCCTCCTGAGTCTTCTGGTTGTCACTCTTAAAATTAAGTACTGAGGGGCTGGCTGAGTGGCTCAGTTGGTTAAGAGCTCGCTCAAGAGTGTGAGCTCTGAACAACAGCGGTTCGAGTCCTGCCCGAGCTGAACTGCTGCTGAGCTGCCAACAGGTGGCAGGATGTCTCAGCTAAAAAATAAAATAAAATAAAAAATTAAGTACTGAGCACTGTGCATGACAATTTCCTCATTGTGATGCGGCAGACACTGCCCCTGCCCTAAAGGGGTCACTGTTTCTATGGCAGTGCATTGTCCTTAAGTGATAGGCTAGAGCTGTGCCTGGGGTGGTGATTTGTTGCTTTCTAGCTGTGTGAGCTTAGGCAAACCTCTGAACTTCAATTCTAATCTGGAAGATGGGGCAAGAGTGCCAGTGCGTATAAGACGCTTACTTCTCACTGTGCTCAAATGTTAAGAGCAGGCATCGTGCGGCAAGCAATAGCTAGACGCTGACCAGTAGGCCTGTTACTTGGGCAAGGAGGGTGGTGGAGGCAGTCTGTTGGGAATATGGAGGAAGTGCTGGAGTGATGATACAGGCTTGAGGGCCCGGCGGGAGTTCATGCAGTGCCGATGCGGTGAGTAATTGTGTGGCTTTTTCTGAGCAGAGCTCCTTGGCCTTGGTGTGGGCTGTGGTTTTGCAGGCCAAGTGGAATAGGAAGGCAAAAGGATAACAGTACTGAGTGAGGGATAAGAAGGGTCCAAGTGATAGAGCATAGAGTCTAGAGCAGACATAAGGAGGAAAGGAAGGACACGAAGGGGCTAAGAGAAGAAACTGGAGCAGTCAGTGGACTGGAGGGCAAACATGGAGCTCAGTGAGACTTGGAGGACCGGAGGGGGAGGCTGTGTGCTTAGAGGACAGGTGAGTCTGGATGCTGCAACAGTCCAGGCTTTGCTAAAGCGGAGCAAGCAGAGGTGCAGGGCAATAGAGATGCATCATGGTCTCTTCCTAGGGAGAAGAGCGTAAGCCGGTGCCCAAGACCCCAGTGAAGGGGGCAGTGCCCCATCTCCATCCCAGGCATGTTCCCTCTGGGTGTGTTCCCTCCCTTGCCAGAGCCTCAGAAGCAGAAGGGTGCCATCTTAATTTCCCACCCGTACTCG